TACCGCAAAAAAAAATTTTTTTAAGGATGGCCTTATGTTATATGCAGGTGACTGCTAAGGCCATAGGGCCTTTTCCTTGGTTTCTATTGCGAATGGGAATATAATGGATAGTTTAACTTTGGTATTTCAGACACTGATATCTCAAAAACCATGCATATATCAAACTGCTTAGGAAGTCCTAAATCACCTATTCATAAGTATTTTACCCTTGATATTTTGAATCCCTGGATAACTTGAAGTTATATCTCTGATTTATGGAGTTTGATATAACAAGGTCTGACTGTATATTTAGTGATTAAATCAATTGATCTTTTTCGAACTGTTTCTTAATGTTTCAGGCCGAGTTTGAGGGAAAATACCACATAAAATTAAGACATGTTGACCTGGAGCCATTATAATATATACTAAAGATTAGTAAATCAAACAGTGCCAGTGATGCAACAGTGTCTAGTCTGACAATAATACAAGGATTTTAAAAGGAAAATGTAACCCAAAGGATTCATCAGCATGACTTTTTATGTGATAATTTGCATACAAGTATTATTTTTTAAATGTGTGATTTTTTCCATGGAATGTGAGGGATTGCAGAATTCCATGTGACTGTATAAAGGACTAATGTGTGTATAAATGACTAATGTATAAAGGACTGTGCAATTATAATTATGAAGTTTTCTTTTTTAAACTCTAATTTTTACATGTATGGATGTTTCTTCCAATATTTTAAAGTTGCACATACATCTACTGTAAAAGTGCAAATTTTTGTGGGGATAAAATTTCATTGATTTGTCATGTAAAACAGATTCATATACATTTAATTTCATTGTTTTGAAAGTAACCTTATTCAATTATTGTTAACAAAGAAATAAACAAAATTTAATCCCTCACAAATATTTGTGCCTTTACAGTATATACTGTGTAATACAAAGACAGTCTTGAAGAAACTCATGATTATTTCCTACATCATCTACAGCGAGTTCTGAAGGATATTTAAAAATCCACGACGTATCTTAATAAAGTCAAGCTACTGTCACTGTGATCATTGGTCTGTGTACCGTTGGTGTTTCTATAATCTCTGTTGAGATTCTGCTGGGCTAGATATTTAGACTTGAAGCCCACGGGCATCAGTCCAATATCTAACCCAGCAGAATCTCAACAGATATTAGTGTTTTTACTGCATTCATTGGCAATCACGATGCATGTTGTTGGAGCATTGTCAGCCAACTCACAAAACAAGAGCAATGTCCTTGTATTTTTAGTGTATTTTGTTGAACTCCTGACCAAAAACATTGGCATTTAAAAAGTAGAATTGTGATAAAGCAAACCAGAACTGTGTTTGTTTTTAGCTCTACTGGTCAGAGACCAGAAGAGCTTATGCATTAGTAAGGTGTGCGTTATCCGTCTGTCTGTCTGTAAACAATTTTACAAAATGCTACTCCTCTTACAGTTTTGATCTGATTTTAGTATAACTTGGCACATAAGTAGACTAAACTGAAATACAAAATTCTTTGAATCAGTTTCTTATTTCATTAATAAAATTAAAGAAAAGATTAACATGTGGATCAGCTTGGTGTGACAGGTACTTGTTTTCCTTCCCTTACTTATGCAGCAGTATATCTTCATCACCTGCATACAGTTTTATATCTCGCAGTTGATTGGATATGCGTTTCATGGATATGAACAATTTAAAACAATAAATTATGTTTTTACCGACTGTACAAAAATAAAGTTTAGATTCCATTAAACCATAGAAAAGTGAAGTTTCTCATTGGGGTTGGGGGGGGGGGGGGGGGGGGACTCGTGATACCTTGGCGTCGATGTTGGCATCCCAAATTAAAACTAAAAAATCTTCTATGCTCTACATTGGTCAGAGATGCATGCATGATACTTCTAGTGTGTTTCATTGTACCAGTCAAGGTTTCAGATGCTGCAATTTCAGCTAAGGAATGACCAGGTTACTGTTTTGAGCAGGTCAAGTTTTCGATGTTGGTTAATATATTTGGTTCAGGTCTCATTTCCAAGTAACTATAAGCCATATGTTGACCAAACAGGTGATACATCTACGGATGCATACTACCATGCAGGCTTGCTTCAGATGCTGGATCTGACCTACATTTTCCGGATGAGTAAACAGGTTAAGTTTTTTGGTGCAAGTCTCATTTCTAAGTAATTATAAGCCTCATGTTGACCAAACTTGCATAGTTGATACATCTGAGGATGCACACCTTCAGGATAGCGTCTAGATTTTCCAAATGAGTGATCTTGGGATGTACACTTTAGATTATTTGTTTACTGTGAGACTTTGCCTTACTTAAAGACAAACATTCGTTGAGATGAACTCTGTAATCTCTGATTACCTATGTTTTCCATACTGTTCATACTGTTAAAGCTAATGTTCATAACATAGCTTGGCCAAATAAGGTGTTTTGGGTCATAATTTGTAGTTAAACAAGATAATAAAAAAAAAACCATATTTTGTAACTGTCATTTTCAATGAAAAATGAAGTAAACCAGTCATGAATTTGAGAGTTTTTTTTTTCATATTGGACAAAGGAAATATGCAGACTGCCTACAATTTCCCAGTAAAATGGTAATTTGTATGTTCATGGCCTCTTCTTTAAAATAATATCAAATTTACAATAGTCATTGGGATTACTTTTACTTGGGATGTACACTTTAGATTATTTGTTTACTGTGAGACTTTGCCTTACTTAAAGGCAAACATTCGTTGAGATGAACTCTGTAATCTCTGACTACCTATGTTTTTCATACTGTTCATACTGTTAAAGCTAATGTTCATAACGTAGCTTGGCCAAATAAGGTGTTTTGGGTCATAATTTGTAGTTAAACAAGATAAAAAACCATATTTTGTAACGGTCATTTTCAATGAAAAATGAAGTAAACCAGTCATGAATATGAGAGTTTTTTTTTTCATATTGGACAAAGGAAATATGCAGACTGCCTACAATTTCTCAGTAAAATGGTAATTTGTATGTTCATGGCCTCTTCTTTAAAATAATATCAAATTTACAATAGTCATTGGGATTACTTTTTATTATATGATTTCAAATTGAATTCCAAAGAACTTTTGGACAATTTGAAATCACAATATTTTACTAAAATCAACAGCTTAAAAACTTTTCAACCTTATTCACAACCATTCCCCACGATAAATTAAAGTCCAGGCTTTTTGATATCATTGACAGCTGCTTTTTCAATAAAAATTGAACTTGAATTTACTTACCTGGTCATTGGTCATTTGCAAAATTATGTTGGAAAACCAATGTCTGATTGCACACACAAGAACTGTTAGGTTGACATCAAAAAGATGCTTGAGTTTGGGATTGACAATATATAGGCCTATGTGGTTTTTGGAGACCAGGTCTACCAACAATCTATTGGAATTCCCATGGGTACCAATTGTGCTCCGCTTTTAGCAGACCTATTTTTATATTCATATGAAACAGAATTTGTGCAAAATCTTATGCGTGAAAGGAAGAAAACACTTGCTGTGGCATTCAACTCGACATTTAGATATATCGACGACGTATTGTCAATTAACAACGGTAATTTCCATTCATACGTCAATACGATATGTCCTGGTGACCTTAGATACCACAGAGTCTGAAACATCTTTTTCATAATTTGATATTTTACTTGAAATAGACGTTTATGGTAATCTAACAACCAAGTTATATGATAAACGTAATGACTTTAACTTTTCTATCGTCAACTTTCCTTACTTATGCAACAATATACCTTCATCACCTGCATACGGAGTGTATATATATCTCAGTTGATTCGATACGCAAGAGCATGCTCTACGTATGAACAATTTCTAAAACGAGGTAAATTATTGACAAGCAAGTTGATGAAACAAGAATATCAGCAGTCTCGTTTAAAGTCATCATTTTGTAAGTTCTATGGTCGATACAACGACCTTGTCAGCAAATACTGTTTATCATAATGAGTCAAATGCTGACTGACGTTTTTCATGCTAATTGTTAGTCCATTATTTATAAACTGAATTGAAGACGGATTTTCCTGTTATTTCCCGATCATGACAAGGAACACACGGCGGGTGTGGCCGGTCAGCAGGGGATGCTCACTCCTCCATGGCACCTGATCCCACCTCTGATGTTCGGAGGTCCGTGTTTGCTCTACTCCTATTTTGTATTGTTTTATGGACTTTGATATTGAATACTGTTTGTTATCTCCATATCCTTCTTCCATGAAAAAAAAAACCCCTATTTCCTTCATAATTATGTTAAAGCCGTAATGTACGGGAAAAGAAAGTTGAATCTGATTATGATGTCATAATGGATCTAACATAAGAAATTAGTCTAAAGCCATTTTCTAGATTTTGACCTGAAAACTAGTCTATACGATGAACAGCCGTGCTATATATATATACATAGAAATTTCACATAATTGATGAATATCGGTTGGCCAAATAAGCAGAATTTTATTAACTAACATAGAACAGTCTCTGGTAACTGTGATTGCATGATAACAATTTGACGATTCGGGCTATATGCGATGTATTCCTCTGTAAAAGATCGCATTTTGGTACACAGTAATACTATTACATGCATATATTTTCCCCGAGATTAAAATGTCAAGTTTATTCACATTAAACTGTTAAATACGTGGAAAATACCTTATTCTTCCTCAAAAGATGTTTTGTTCAAAAAAAACTTTAGAAGAAAACATCAAATCACGCACGTGTTCTCCTTTAAAATCTGTTTAGGGGTGTGTAAAAAAAACTCTCATTGGTGAAAAAAAATTATTACGTTTACATGAAGTATATTTTTCTGTAATCATTCTTGACTTCCACTTTTGGAAATCGTCAAGACCTGCTGTATATGTCTATAAACAGAGAACAAAGGTACTTGGGTCTTGGTCTTATAAATATACACGTATGTACCTTAATGATATGTAAAAAAAAAAAAAAAAGTACCTTTTCTTGACATATCAATAACAAGTACATACATATTTATAAA